GGATGAGGAAGAGGGAAAGAGGGGAGAAGGAGGAGGATGAGGAGAAAGAGAGAAGAGGGGAGGTAAAAAGGTGAAGGTGGTCCAGGAGATTGTGCCTTTCAAGAAGAGCATCACAAACATCTGGAGAAAGGGGAGCAAGGCCATGAGAAGTAAGCACCTGGATTGCATTACTAAAATGGCACACTTCAACACATCAAGCCTGACAGATATTAGAGGGGGGAAGTAGAAGAAGGCAGAGATTTAGAAAGAAATTTGTAGCCTGTCGCCAGAGTAAGAGATATTCTGCATCTTTCCAGGTAAAAATCCTCTGTCTAAGGAGAGCAGACAGAAAGAAAAAGAAAAGCAGCATGAATAGGCACTTCCAGGCCTCATCATCAAAAAGACGGGAGACTATTGCTTTAATAGCAGATGAGAAAATACTAGACCAGCCATTGCAAATGCTCTTCTGAACGTGATAAAAAAGGGACCTTTAGACAGCAAATATCCTCAAGAGGTGGCAAGTGGTAAGGAAAAGGCTGAGGTCGGCTGGGGCAGGGCTAAGGGGACAGGAAGCTAGGCTGCTGTTGTACCATTGGAAGGAAAAGCAGAACAGTAATATCCTACTGGCCCAAATGAGACAGAAAACAAGCTATGGCTTTGAAACACAAGCCCTCTTTCCAAGGGAGACAGGAAACGAAAGGAAGACCCTTCTTAACACAAGAACAATGGCATCACATAGCCCCGTTACCATTACATCTACAACATTTTTTGCAAGCCATTATATTATTATTGTGGCGAGCTTAAGTGAGCCCCACATAATCGACACGAGTATGTAAGTCTGTATGTCGGTACACATACGTCACTCCTATTTATTTGTATGAAAAAGGTTTCCACTCTTTAATAAACTTAACAACTTCATTGAAAATGGGTGTGGTCGCAATAAAATAAAATGGCGGCTGAGCTGCAAATCAGTCAGCAAGACTAACTTAGACTGTAATCACTGTACTTCAGCAAGGTACGTTAAAAAAGCAGATGTTCTTTTATTGATGTAAAAAACTGATCAAGTGAATGTCAGTCACAGTCAGAGACAGTCTAAAGCCCAGGACTAACTTGAAGAATGCTGATGCAACAATCATTAAAGTACATATGCTACAGTTGACTATATAGCTATATTATTTGTGCAATGACTGGTTGTAGCTATTTTTAATGCTATAAGCAAGGTAACTTCAATTGCTGCTGAGATCATAGTGGTAGACCATGAAGAACTACATCCATCAAGTTCTGAGCATGCTTATACGTGCACAATCATCTTCATCCTGCACCACAATGACATGATGAGTATTGTTAGTTTGTCAGGATATATTGTATGTAAATTGCTTTACTTGCTCAGGCTCACCCCCTTAACGTTCTACATTCATCTAGTCATTATTATTACTAGAAAGAATGTAAAAACAATGAGGGGCTCTGCCTCCTGACCACATCTTTCAGTCACGCCCCAAACGTATGCATAGATACATGCATACAGAAATTCACGTAAGTAAGAGCTTTGCCCAATTATTATTATTCTTCATATTATTGTGAAAATGCACAAAAGCAAGCTAGAAATTACAAATAATTATCAGGTAGACATGGATAACGAGACACCTACGGTGCATAGCCTCGCCCCTATAGCTGTTATGGTACGTGGCCTTGCTGCAATAGCTGTTTGATATTAACATTACAAGAACTTTAGCATGAAGAGAGTCCGTTCAACATAGCTTCCTGCAGTTGCACTTGCTTTTGAATACCTCCATACTGTACTGCAGCACATACTTGCATGCAAGCATCTCCAGCCCCTCCCATGCATGTAGCTTGAAAGGTGTGGCATTACATCATCAACTGCAATGATGGCAGCAACAAGACCATGTGGGAAAGAAGCTTAACTTTTTCTGTACTAATCAGCAATATATGATAAACTTGCTGACAGAAAGTTGTTGCCATCAAGTATTTGAGATATTATAGGTAATTTAGTACCTATAGCCCAGTAGGTCGTTGCTCCAGCATTTCACAAACACAATTGTAACTCTTCACCTAGAAGATTTAAAGAATTCTTTTCATATTTTTTCAAGACCATCTTCTACTCTACTGGAAAATGCTACCAGCTATCTCTAGAGTGACAACACAACAAAACCTGACTCAAATTCTCGATTTTCTCACTTTGAAGCTTCTTGTACCTAGCTCTTAAGTTTGAGCAACACAAAACAGTTAAGCAAGACTTTTCTAGGCCAAAAAGAAAGATCTAGGAGCTTGGAACATGCTGTGCTAAAGTTATAGTTTATAGACCTTTTTCACCAAAAGGTGTGAAAGAATTTTTATTAGCAATAGTTAATTTATAGCTAGTCCTGAAGTGTAAACCACACCCTCTGATGGGAAAGATCGTGTAGAAGTGAATGCTATAGACTACTTTGTGAGACTGAAAACTCGGAATAAGCAAATATTTTAAGAATCCAGACTCAGATAGCAAAGAAGAGATACCTCGAGCTGATCTTAGGTAGATAGTAGACTATGAGTCATGTATGTAATTTGTGTGCATTATTTTGGGAAGGTGGAGGGAGGCTAAGTTGTGCTCAAAATACTGTAACTTACAGTCTTATGAAGCTGCTGAAGGCACTGTTTCACTAGAAATAAACATTACAATGTAAAAGTAGGGGTTAAGCGACAGCTATTATTGTCACACTTATTTAAATTAATTGTAATCGGTCATCAAATTATTGTCTTTTTATTTCATGAATAATGATTAGCTGAGTGCTATGTCTTGGCAAGGGCTAAAGCCTACTATACTAATCATGCAAATTCATTTGTCACTTTGTTAAACATTTCCTTGTTTGTTTAAATTTCTGAGTTACATGTATGTGTATGAGTGCGATCAGTGATTAGAATTTTTAATATGAGGAATATTATTTACATATGGTATGATATAATTATCTTTTATAGATGAGATGGCATCTACATGTATGTTGTCTGTCGAACCATTACATCACCGTGTTTACCGCTCTAAATCATTTAATACTCGACCAGTTTTTGGAAGACACAATACAGGTCATCGTGATGCATACAAGTGCTGGGATCCTGATACGTTAAGAAAGGCCTGTGAAGCAGTGAACGAGGGCATGTCAATACGCCGTGCTACAGAGGAATTTAATGTTCCACGTTCCACATTGCATGACCACATAAGTGGCTAAGTTCTTGCAGGAACCAAGAGTGGTCCTAGAGCTTATCTGACTAATGATGA